CTACCTCTTAAACACACGAGAACCAGAATTACTATATGGCTGGGAAACGATCCCTGCGGTTCCACTCAGAACCGCAGTCGGCGTCCATTTTTGTTCAAATGCCACCCAAGACGACACATTTTGAACTCTCAACCCAGTCCTGAACATCCCACATTAAAATCTAAGAGTACATGTAAGAACTCAAGCGGACAAATGGAGGTTCGTCTCTTGCACTTACCCTTGATTTGCCTTCTCCGTCCATTAAGTGTTCCACGTACGTTACCTCACCCACTACAAATCAGATTCCAGACGACACACACCAAGGGGAGAGAAGCCGAGAGAACAATTGGGGTTTAGAGCAGACACAAACGGGGGGACGGTGAGAGTGAGCTCGGCCTGCGAGTTCAGAGCCTCCTCCCCCAGCACCCCAGCAGCACAAATTCTGGTACAGGTCTACAAGAAGCAAGCTGTAAAGTGTATTGAGGAAAACTTCTTAAGCTGTCCTTGCTGGGAACCTCAACATCCAAGACTGACCAAAAGGATTTGACCTCCCGAGCCATTGAAATTGGATGGATTGTCAACTATGGCATTTGTTGGACGTCAAAGAACCATTTCTGGTAAGGTTAACAAGTCTTCGGCTACCTCAGAAACATTCGACACACCTAAACCGTATCGGACACAGTTGCACTATATGTCAGTGCGCTAACACTAGACTATCGGTAACGACAGGTTCCATTGCTGTTTTAAACCGTTTCTTTAGCCCAAAAAAAAAAAAAAAAAAAAAGTTACAATAAAAATAGCTAAACCTATATTATAAAATAAATGGTTTGAAGTTACAGAAACCGAAACCTAGTCCACCTGGAACCAACTTGGCTTCCCAACTAAACAATTGGACTCTTGAATTTAACCAAATTGGCCAAACCAGCTCCAACACGGCCAGTTGGATGAACACTCAAGAATAGAATTAGATGAGACTGCAAACCCAAACCAGGTCTAGTCTGTTTGTCAAAAACTACCTTGAAGAACCACCTGGCATTTCTCCAGCAAGAACGTCTGTCCATAAGATAAAACAAGGACCAGCTTAAGAAGCTGCTTTACTCTGTAGACCTGTACCCCCAGAAATCAATCACATCCATTTTTAAGGGCACAATAATGAAGATCAGCTGCAACAACATTCATTCTGGCATTGACCTAAAAAAGAAAATGCAATTTAATTCTACAGGCAACAATTTCCACATGAAATTCCCCATGCGTACGAATCATTAGGCATGGAGGGGCTGCAACACATGGATAGGGAAAAATGTGACCACTCATAGATTGTTCTGAAATACTAACCAACAGGTTAGGGTGAAAACTACACACTTTCTCCAAAGCCAAAGAGACCGAATGATGGCATCAGATTCATATGAATGGATTAGACTCGGTTCTGTGTGTAAGTGCAATTCGCACAATTTTAAAGTACCATCCACCTACATTAGCAAGCTTGAATTATTAATCGTTTTCCACAACAGACAAGACACTTTTCCAACAGACCACTTCCCCATGATGGGATGTTTATCCTCTGACCTAAAGCAACTGAGTAGGTGGCCACCTTCGAAACCCCCAAAACTAAAAATAAAGCTCCATGGCTCTAAGCTAACCTAGGATGTACAACTAAATATAACGAAAACTTACCTTTTTCCTTCATGAGATCTTTCAGAGTTTGCCATTTAACATCATAGGGAATGTTGCTGACAAACACACGGTATCTCTTGTTGGGGTTCCCGTAAGGTTCAAACCGGCCCCCCCCACCACGCTTCTGGGGCCTCTCCTTTCTCGACTCATGGTTGGACTTGCCGTTCACAGCATTTCTGTATGGAGGGAAAAAAATAAATTCCAATTCGATAAATGTTTTCCCACCCAACAAGAAAATCATGCATTTAGGCTAGTTGTTCTAAGATTTTCTATTCATGTTCAAAGGAGTGTAAATTTCCTAAATCCTGTTACCAAAATTTAGATGTCTAAATAGTACAAAAGCCTGATTTTTTACTTTCTATTTTACAGCAATACAATTTAATTTAAAATTAAAAATGTATAATAGGGTTGAAAATGAGCATAAATTAGTCACTCAAAATATTCACACTTGCCGCACATAATTAGTAGTTTGAACCCTTTTCTAACAATAAATTAGGTAAAAGGGTTAAGTTTGCAGCTACAGAATTGTGGAAACTGTTGCACATTAAATTTCATTTTCAGCCATGCATCAAACTCTTTAAGATTAACATTCAAGTTTATTTTTAAGTTAAAAGTAATAAAAAAAAAACTTCTGCATTATTCCGTTTGATTTTCTGGGTTTGAATTTTCTTCAACCCCGTTACCAAAATGTGCCTAAACACATTTTAAACCCCTGCTTTAACGTTTTTTATTTTCTAGCAATAATTTATTTTAAAAGAATGTATAACGGGGTTGAAAATTTAACAAATTAGACGGTCACTCTAGCCAGCCCGAATTTTTTTTGTTGTAGTTACTGAGGGGGGGGACGGACAACTTTCCCCCTAATAATAACTTGGGTACACGTTAACAGGGTTGAGTTTGCAGCTACCGAAACTTGGAAACCGTTCCAAACCGTTAAATGTTTTTACGCGTGCGTTTTTTTTAATATACAATAAATGTAATTGTACAAATAAGCTTTTTTAAATGAAAAGCAAAAACAAAAAAAATACTGTTTACATTTTTTTGTTAGATGTTAACATCTAAAACAAGCAATTAATCGTTTCTAATAGGCAAGAAACTGACATGCAACAAACTAGGCCGCAGCAAACAAAGGACACTCAATCGTGTTTGTTACGTAACAAAAAAAAAGTCGTTCAAATCTCGTCTACGTGCTTTATTTTGTGTATTAGGCACATTTCGTGCATGATGCGTCCTTATCTCTTTTCCTCCCATTGTGAATCCAGCGACTCTTTGTTTCACACGAACCAAACAAACGAGTTTGTCCTTTAACGCTCATATTTTACTGCAACCTAACTGTTCTTAGTAAAAATACATTATTCACCAAAAACATTCCGTACCTACTGTTTTAACCATATAAAAAAGCAAAACATGGAATAAAAAGCAAGCAGTTGTCGTGTTACCCTTGTTCTTGTTTCTCTGGTATCTCTGATTTTAGCTCAGACGACATTTTGCCTTCAGATGTTCGCTGTCCTCCTCCGTTTTCAGATTAAACTGTTCTAAACCACGCAGACTATGTCTAGATACAGATAAAAACGAGTTTAAAGTCGTAAAAACAACGAGGGTCGCTGCTCAGTCGTGTTGTTGTCCCGTTGCGTCGCCACTACCGTTAAAAGCACTCAGCCGCTGCTTCTATCCTTCGCCTGGTGAAATGGCGGCGACACAGAAAACGCGAAGCTGATATTGGAAGCGACGAGAGGCATGATGGGAAACAACGTGTGACGCATTCTAGTTTGAGATTCGCCGTAGTTGTTGTTAAAACTATCGTATTATTACTTTACTAGGTTGATTTTTATTACAAACCTAACAGATTTCAGCCTTCATTTTTAGTTTTCTGAAGGTCTATAAAAATACGAAAAATTACGTGTTTACTTTTACATTGTAAACAAAGAGAAACTGTGGAGACATTGGTATTGTTGTATTTTGTAACTTTTTATTGTGGTGGTAGATGCTGTGGGTTGTATATGTTGTCCTATTGTCTTGTTTTTTTTTTTTTTAATTTGTACCTTGAGTCTGTAATAAAGATTGATGATGAAAGAACCTAATATTCAGAAAACAATCAGACATTTGCTTTAAAAAAGACGTGACTGTTCCCTCATTTCCACAACAATGAACAATTTTACTCCTAATTATTATTATTATTCATTATTATAATATTTGTGTTTCAAAGAGACAGTGTCAGTGAAAAGTCTGAGGTGAAATGTGTGTGAAGAAAACTGAAAAATCAAGGTAACTATCAAAATATCACTTGTGAACAGATTAGTTTTCCATTCAAGCTGTAATTTTGTTAAATTACACAAACCATGTGAGAAATGTTCCCTTGTATTCAGTGTGTTCTATACATAATGCTAATTATTTATTTATAAGCATGAAAAGTGTTGCCAGGTTTTTCTAAAAATGTTTGAAATGTCATTTCCATCACAGAATGCTATAAAACACAACATATAATTTTATATGTAGTGCAAACTACACTTTGGTGGGAAATTTATTAACTATTAAATGCATGTAAACACACTTTTGCACACTGTTGTGTTAACTTTATTTGAATTCCAATTCAGCTGATTTTATTTAAAAAATATTTTAAAAAATATATAAATTCTAATTCAACATTCTATGAGGCTTTTTAAATTCTGTTAAAATAACATTAAAATGCTGTAAAAGCCCACACCAGGGAATTAAAAAAAAAAGATAATTGTGACTTCTTATCTCACAATTCAGACTTTGTTTCTCATAATTCTGAGACATTTTCCCTTGCAATTCCGAGTTTACATCCCACAACTTTCTGACTTCTCAGAATTGTGGGTTTATATCAGATCTCAGTCAGAATTTGTAAAGAACTCAGTTTCATTTATTTATTTTGTTCTTTACGGTGCTGAAAACAGACTTCCATAAAATGCAGAGCTTCAGCTCATAATAAATGGCTTGCTGCCCAAACGAGTGAGTTTAAGCTATTTCTGAAATTGTGTAACCTCTCAGAAATCTCTCGAAAGAACAACAGCACAGTTACCAGATCCAGAGCATCGTTTTTAATCACACTTTTCTTGGCTGATTTCAAGTACCAACATATTTTGGTGAGGACATAACAGACATCTTTCTCTTAGCCACTGCACAACATAAACATTGTAGTATCTCAAAAGTTCAGAGTGCTAAAAATCCTGTGCTCGATGAATAAATGAAAACAAAACAGAAGCAAAATAATACATATATTAATACATTAAAACACACACTGGCAAAATTAGAGATATTTCAACTGAATCAACAAACTGTGTGAACGTGTGTACAATTAAGTTCAGATTTGGAAATGCCTTTTCTGAAACTGCAACAAAAGTTAAAACCCCCCCTCAGAAATTTACAACGGATATATTCCATTCTAAATGAGTGAAAGTGCCATTGTATTTAAACAAGAAAGCATGCACTGGAGGAACAGAGAGGTTTCGGTTTTATTAACATCATCGTTTGAGCTGCTGAACTGTTCTTGCAGTGTTGCATATTGTGGCCAGCTCATTGGCATCCACTGCAAGTTAAAAACACAAAATAAACAATAAAATCATGAGTTCAACATTGTCCGTCTCCTCAAGTCCTTCATATGCAACAACATCTACATCTATGTATATATCATACATGTATTGTTAAGGTTATAGGTAAGAATTGCATTGTAATATTTTTTGAAATTGCACTCTCGATGTATTACCCTACATTGCAAAATAACCAAGGAATGGCCCAAAAAGTGAAGAAAGCAGGTGGAAGCACAACAACGAGACAGCATTCCTCAAGTTAGCATTAAGCTGGTAAAGTTGCCTGTCGTTGGTGATCCGACACCACTAGTGGTTGGAAGTAATGGTTCAAATCGGCAACTTCTTTCCGGAAAAACACTGAGCAATGGGAAAGACGATGATTATGATGATGATGGATTATTCCTAAAACTCTACAAAAATATCAAAATAATTATTGTTAACAAATAATGCCATCATATTTTGTGTATCTATTGCACAATTTTTCTCCCCTTAAAATAAAGAATCCATTTAGAGAGGAAAACCTTTTTTTTTTCCTCCCATCCTCCAATGCAAAATTAGCTGACGGGAGACGGGTGGTGGGATGAATTTGAGGGAAAAACCTTTTGCATGTTTGAATATCCACCTACAGAAGCACATTTTGGTTTCAAACTCGCTCGTTTGTGGTGCTGAACTTCGTCAGTAGTTCTTTGTAGAAAAAACAAAAATTAAAATAGGAAAAATATGCAATATGAAAATAATTGAAGACAAAATGTGTTTTACTGAGAAAAAACAAGATTTGGTTTTTAAAAAGCCTTTTTTCAAAAGGTACATCTGGAAAAAGGGGGGTCGTCTTATAATCAGGGTCGTCTTATATTCGGGCCAATACGGTAATAATGCAAAATATGTGAAAAAATAATGTTTTTCGAACAACTTTGAGAGCCTGTTCTAGTACACCCCCAAAACAAAATCAAGACTTTGTAAAAGAGCATAATAGGACCCCTTTAAAACAAGTGGTCAGCAAATAATCCAGACATTCGTTGGCCTGTCTGCTCCACACACACATACAGAACCCTGGACCTACAGCACACAACACTTCTTAATAACAGAGCCATCAATTTATCTACACATTTACAATTGAGACGCATCAGAATTTACAATAAAAGAATTCATGGACCTACATATCTTAGGTAGCTCATTTTATTAGCCTTAAAAGAACAGTTCAGCCAAAATTACAATTCTGTCATTATTTATTCACCCTCATGTTGTTCCAAACTCGCATGCTGTTTTTTTTTTTACCCATTACGGGATTAAAACAAAATCTCACAATTCTGACTTATTTCTAACAATGGCAAGTTTATATCTCACAATTTTGACTATTCTCAGAATTCTTAGTTTACATCTCGCAATTTAAATTTTTTCCCCCTCAGAATTCTGAATTTAGAGTCTTGCAATTCTGTTTTATTTTCTGCTACAGAATATAAAATAAAAAAAGTGACTGCAACTTTCTCACAATTTTAGCTTATTTTTTCCTCTTAATTGTTTTAACACCATAGACTGTATAAAAACATGGACGTAGTGTCCGTGACGTCACCCGTAGGTTTCCGAAGAGCGTTTTTGAAGCTCAAAAGTGGGTGGAGGCGGCCGTCGCCATCTTGGCAGCGCGTCACCGCGCGTCACTCCCGGATAATCGAAAATGGGCAAAGAGGCGGGAGCAGGTTGCTGAAGCCACGCCCACCTAGCTCGACGGTGGTGACAGCAGCGGCAATCCACCTGTCACTCAAGTGGCCACGCCTTTAATTATGCAGAACTTTAAGGCTTAATATAATTTAAACGGATGAGTTATAAAAGAATTCACCCCCCTCACAGTTGTCATCAAGGGCAAAATCAGCTATATAGACCAAAATCATTTTTTGAACCAGGCTGTAAACGTTTTTTTTCTGCTGTAAAGTTGGGCATTTTAACATGGGGAGTCTATGGGATTGTCTCCCTTTTGCAGCCAGCCTCTAGCGGCCAGTTGATGAATTACAGTTTAAGTCACTTCCTTGTTGGCTTCACGAGAGAGAGCGGGAGGTTGCCGCTTGGTTGACACACAAGTCAGACCTTTCTTCTCAGAATTCCTAATTATATCTCACAATTCCGAATTTCTCAGAATTGCCAGAGTGGTGAGAAAGTGATGTACGGTTAACAAAATGAACAAGGTATATAACATATTTATAAAAAAAATTTGAACAATACCAGAGAATTGAACTGAACTGAAAAAAGTAATACTGTTTATTAAGTACTGCTGGTATTGTTCAACAAAAAATAATTGTGAGATATACATTTTTTTTGTTTTACCATTTTTTGTACAATTTTTGAATCCCATCCTGGAACCAAGCTTCCATTAACATCTGAAGAATTTTCACAAAGATCTTTTCTATAAAGTAAAAAAAAAAAAGTCCATGTGGTCTGTACGGCTTGCGCACTATATTCCAACTGAAGTCATACGAAGCCAAATTTTTAAGTGGCGATTCACTTAAAAGTCTTTCAAAAATAAACTAGGCGTGGCAAATCAACCATTACAGAATCTGAAAGTAAGTGAGATTTTAGAGCTTTGGAGAAGATTACCACTTTTATTTCTTTCTGGTTCTTGCACGAAACTATTGTATGAACTTGTAAAAGGGCGCATGTTTCATATGAACAGCTTTCATTGCGATCTTGAAGCTTGACAGACAAGGTCACTACAAATTGTCATTGTACGCGTTCCGGAAATGATTCACCAAAATTGTTCTACGATTAAAATAACAGCAGTAAAGTTTGAAGTGACATTAGGGTGAATAAATAACGACATTTTCATCATCAGGTGAACAATGCCCTCAGTGAACTTTACCGCCAAAATTTTGCGCAAATCTTTTCTAGACCTAGATCTTCCACAGCGAGTGCATAAGGCGCAAAAGTGTCCACATTAAGAGTGGCAAATTTGCAATTATTACGATACTGCCTATCCCATTCCCACACTTTCAGACGGTACATAACTGTAGGGAACGAAAAGATCTGAGGGTTGGTGTTCTGCAGATTCTTCTTGCACCAATATGACACACAGCTAAAAGACACCTTTGCTTAAATACTATAGTGTAATTCATGGACGACGGTTTCGTTACTGGTCTGGCAATGATGTTTAGCTTTACAATTACGTCTTCCTCTGC